GTGTGTCTGTGTGTCTATGAGTGTGCCTGTGTGTCTCTTTGCCTCTGTGTCTGTGTGTCTGTGTGTCTGTGTGTCGGTGTCTGTTTCTGTGTGGTTGTTTGTCTGCGTGGCTGTGTGTCTGTGTGTCTGTGTGTCTGCGTGTCCGTCCGTCTGTGTGTCCGTGTGTCTCTGAGTCTCTGTGTCTCCGTGTCTCTGTGTCCGTGTGTCACTGAGTCTCTGTGTCTCCGTGTCTCTGTGTCTCTGTGTCTCTGTGTCTTTGTGTCTCTGTGTCGTTGTGGCTCCGTGTCTCCGTGTCTCTGTGTCTCTGTGTTTCTGTGTCTCTGTGTCGCTGTGGCTCCGTGTCTCCGTGTCTCTGTATATCGGTGTCTCTGTGTCTCTGTGTCTCTGTGCCTCTGTGTCTCTGGGTCTCTGTGTCTCTGTGTCTCTGTGCCTCTGTGTCTCTGTGTCGCTGTGTCTCTGTGTTTCTGTGTCTGTGTATGTTGCCCCCTCTGCGGCTGCCGTGTCTGTCTTTCTTCCCACTCTCGCATGCAGGCCAAGTCGCCTTCTGGTTGCCCCGAATCGCCCCCTGCTGGTGCGGATCGCCTCCGCTTCGCCGCCGACGGAAAAAGTGAGTGTGTGTGGCTGCGTGTGTTGTTTGCCAGCCGCTGTCGGTCATAGAGCGGCATGGCTTTCACGATGCTTGACGCGATTGCCTTTTTTGGAGTGATCGGGCTGCAGTGGTGATGAGCGGCAACGGCCAACGTAAGTACGGTCGGCATTTCAGATGATGATCAGCATCGCGATGAAGGGGCACAAGGACGGCAATGCGAGGCCCATGATGACGAGGATGCGATATGGAGAGTTATCATTGGGATGACGATGGTGAACAGCTGATGCGAGATCGCAATGATGATGTTCGCACACGAATGCTAGCAGTTGTAAGTGCGAAGATGGCGGTCGTCATCTCGCGTGCTCTTTCGTTGCCGATGTGGCCGTGCTGAATGTGATACAGATTTGCAGCCACCCTCACTGCTCAAGTATTGACCGACACCAGGTCTGCAAGGTCTTGCCACCAGGGATTTGCAAGGACTCATCCAGCAGCTCCTGGGCAGTCCCCGGGCACCCCAAGACAGGAGAAGGGGGGAGAAGTGCACACCTGACATGTCCTGCTCGTGCGATCGAGAGCCGTCGGGAGCCACTTGCTTCCCGCTGGGTGAAGCCCTCTTCGCCGCCGCTCGCCCGCCCCAGCCGTCTGGCTCCGCAGCCCTCGAGCCGCCTCGGGCAGATTTGGTGGAGCAGGCCCGGGCAGACCCTCGAGGGGGCGGCCATCGTCGCAATTGCGCCCGCCGTGCAGGAGGCCGCCCTGTGCCCCGAGAGCGCGCCCCGCCCGGCTGGGCTTCCTCCGCCGGCGGCAGGCGGCCGCCCCGCCGCGGCGCCGCCCCGGCCGAGGAGCCGCAGCCCGCGGAGGCTGCCCGCCGCTGCCGACGCGGGCGCGGCAGCGGCCGAGGGCGGCGGGTCGTCGCTGGGCGTGTCCGCGGGGTCCGCTGCCGCTGCCGCGGCTCCCTTCGTCGCGGCAGCGGCCGAGGGCGGCGAGTCGTCGCCGGGCGTGTCCGCGGGGTCCGCTGCCGCTGCCGCGGCGCTCTTCGCGGCCTCCGCGGCAGCCGCGGCCGCCGCCGCGGCCGCTGCCGCGGCGCAGGGCGGCGACGGTGCCGCTACGGAGCTCCTGGTCCGCGCTCCGGCCGAGGGTGGCGCTGGCGCTGGCGTCGGCGAGGCGGAGGACGGCGAGGAGAGCGAAGAGGAGGACCAGAGGGGCTCGATGCATACACGACGTGGTTCGGATGGTCACTGATGGCCAGGCTTCGGGCTGCAGACAGGCAGCGCCCTCGGGTCGTCCCAGCTGGCCTCAAGAGAGGCCCTCCGAGTAACTAGTCCGGGGCGGTCTCAACACCCTGGCGCCGCCTCTGGCGGCCTGTGGCGCTCCGCCAGGCATCGGGGTGCTAAGACGGCCCCAGGCCGCGCGCGGGGCCTTCGAGGCCAGCCGGGACTCCTCGGGGGGCGGCGGAGGCCAGCCGTGGCTTCTTGGGGAGGCTGTCCGTGCGCAGCCCGAAGCCTTACGAGTCACAGGGCCAGGAGGCTCGGCAAGTGAAGTCGGTGCACGGACGCCCCAGCCTCCCACCTGTTGGGAAGCTGGGGCGTCTGCGCACCCAGCTCCTTGGCCGTCCTGGCCACTCGGCATGCCGTGTGCTCCGGGCACCTCCAGGACGAGGAGGAGGAGGACTCCGACGGGGAGACGTCCGAGGAGTCCGAGGACGCGGCGATGGAGCCTGCGGCACAGCCCGAGAAGGCGTCGCAGGCGCCCCTCATGGCCCCTCCGACGCCTCCTCTGGCGCCAGAGCGCCACGTCCAGCAGCGCCCCTGGGACGACCGGCCAGCCGCGTTCGACTTTGACGACTGCTGGACCGAGAAGGCGGCGCCCCCGGCGATGGCGTTGGCGACGACGACGACGACGTGGACGACGGCAACCGCGACGACGATTCTGAGGTCGGGCACTTTGAATTAGCGTGTCGCTCCACCGGGTCTGGCCCACCACGCCTCGGCGCGAGACCGGTTCTGGCCCACCCTGGAGGGGTCGAAGCATGGGCGCGGCACGGGTGGGGGGGCCCATGGCCGCAGGTCTGCGATCCAGGCCTGTGGGGTGGGTGGGGGGGCGCAGGTCCAAGTCAAGTCCTGGGCCCAGCAGAGCAGTGGATCTGGGTCGGATGTGAAATCGGAAAGTGCCAGCGCCGTGGCAGTTCCAGAGGGATTAGTTGTGTGTTTGTTATGTGTTTCATATTGTTGCATGGGAGGACTTGGGCCGTCCTTGTAGAGTTCAGCATGCCTGAGTCCCCCACGCGAGACGAAGAACGTCTAGCAGTTTGCAGGCGATCCCGCCAACGCGCCAGGGTGGTGATTCAGGCGCGTCGTGGAAAGAGTCCTGGTTGTCTTTCGGGGTCTCTCGGGATGGTCGACCTCGTGATCGTTGTCATGGCCTTGGGCCCCGACAGGCTACAGTTCAGTCGGGCACGTCCCTCTACAGGAGGAGTATTCAAAAATAGTCAAAATCTAGTCTGGGGACGATGTTCGAATATTTTCGGACCATTCGGGAGTATAGTTTAAAGTATCTTTAATGTTTCGCCCCAAATCCGTCTGTAGGGGGACACGCCCGACCTAAGGCTGCAGTCTGGACCTGTGCCTCTGGCCGCGCCGCCGTTCCAGATCCACACCCACGTGCACCCCATCCCCGCAGGCCCAGGCCCCCGACGCCGTGCTTTTTTTTTCGTGCCGTGGACCCCCGGCGGCCTGGACCCACTCCTCCTCCTCCTCCTCCTCCTCCTCTTCCTCCTCCTCCTCCTCCTCCTCCTCCCCCTCCTCCTCCTCCTCCTCCTCCTCCTCCTCCTCCTCCTCCTCCTCCTCCTCCTCCTCCTCCCCGACTTTCCCCCGAGTCGTTGACGATCCCGCGGGCCGGCAGGGGCCCCCCAGAGGCCGAAGTGGCCAGAAGCCTCCCGTCGTGAGTGTGCTCCTGGCCCGAAGGAGCTGGGGGTCCATAGGTCTTGACCTGGGGCCCGCGGCCCGCGGCTCGTCCGTCGCCTGGCCCAGGTCTGCCCCCCCTGAGGAGGAGGAGGAGGAGGAGGAGGAGGAGGAGGAGGAGGAGGAGGAGGAGGAGGAGGAGGAGGAGGAGGAGGAGGAGGAGAGGAGGAGGAGGAGGAGGAGGAGTAGGAGCAGGAGGAGGAGGAGCAGGAGAAGGAGGGAGGAGGGAGGGAGGGAGGGAGGGAGGGAGGGAGGGAGGGAGGGAGGGAGGGAAGGAGGAGGAGGAGGAGGGAGGAGACGGAGGGGAGGAGGGAGGAGGAGGAGGAGGAGGAGGGAGGGGAGGAGGAGGAGGAGGAGGAGGAGGAGGAGGAGGAGGAGGAGGAGGGAGGAGGGAGGAGGGAGGAGGGAGGAGGGAGGAGGAGGAGGAGGACCCTGGCCCATCGAGCCCCCGCAGGCCCAGGAGGTTCAGGCCTGCGAGAGGTGCCCCTGCCGGGCCCACGGCCCGCGCGGCCCCCACGAGCAGAGCCGCGGGTTCCCTGAGCAGCTCGTCTGCTGCAGAGGCGTGTGCACACCACTCGTGAAGCGCCCTGCGAGGGCTGCTGGGCCTCCGAGCTCGGTTGCCCTCCATCTCCTGCTCGTCCCGCCCAAATGGGCGCGGCTGTACCCGCAGTAGGGCCGGATGGACGCTCGCTCGCTCGTTCGCATCCTCGCGCTGCGAAGAATTCACGGCGGGACGTCCTTTGCCAGTTTCAGCCTCCAGGGGCCCTTCCCAGGCCGCGGGGCCGTCAAAACGCGACTCAGGATGAAGAACCGGTCGCGGGGAAAGGGTCCAGGCCTCTTGGGGTCGACATCGTGCCAAAAAATCACGGCGTCGGGAGTCTGGGTCTCCAGGCCTCCGAAGTGGGGTCCCACCCGCATGGTAAGAATTGGAAACCTTCCCAAGGGTGCCCCTTGCATCCGTGCCTCCTCGGCCCAGCCTTGGCCACTTACGCTGGCCGCGCCCCGCTCGCAAGGTGTCGACATGGCCTTCCAAGGCCCTTGCATCCTTGCCGCGCATCCTTGCTGTACGGGTTGGGTGCAGGTGCGGTCGGTGGATACCGCCGCCTCGCCCATGCATCGCCGGGGCTTCGGTGATGCTCCTCGTCCCCTCCCCCTCGCTCGCCCCTCGCAAAGGACGAGGAGGGGTGGCACGACGAGGCGGACCGAGACTACTACGCGGCGCTGGGCCTGCCGAAGGGCAGCGACGTCACCCCGAGCCGTGCGCGGTCCGCTTACGCCGACCTGTCCACGAAGGCAGGGGGGGGGGAACGAAAGGGGGGGAGGGGCTCACGGGGGGGGGTGGGGGGGCGGCGAGGTTCGAATTTTTCTGACGTTTTCGACGGGTCCTGCCAGAGGGATGCGTCGCAGCAGCTGCGCTTCGCCGAGCCGCCCGCATCGGTCCGAACGGCCGCCCGGGACTCGAGCTATGGTCCGGAAGCCCGAGGCCTGTCCGCGAAGGCGGGGGGGAAGGCAGGGCTCGTTTCGATTCTTCTGCTTCCGATTCGATTCGATTCGATGGATTCCGATTTTGACTCGATTTGATTTTGGATTTCGATTTGGGATCCGATTTCTCGGTGGAGGCCTACTAGCCTGCCGATGTCTGCCGATTCGACTTTTCCAGCTCGGCAGCCGATTGTCGCCGATCCGATTCATTTCGATCGCCGATGCGACTCATCGGTTCGATTCTGGTCTCTCCTGGTAAGGGGCGGGGAGGCCAGATTGGAGCCGCTTGGGGGTCTGAGGGGGCCCAGCATTCTGGGAGGAGGAGGAGGAGGAGGAGGAGGAGGAGGAGGAGGACGAGGAGGAGGAGGACGAGGAGGAGGAGGAGAAAGGAGGAGGAGGAGGAGGAGGACGAGGAGGAGAGGGGGAGGAGGAGGAGGAGGGAGGAGGAGGAGGAGGAGGAGGAGGAGGAGAGGAGGAGGAGGAAGAGGAGGAGGAGGAGGTGTTGCTGCAGGTGCCCTGGCCCAGGGCGCCCCTGCTTCTCGCTCCATCTTGGAGCCCCTGGGCCCCCGGGGCCCCGCCGAGGGGCGCTCTGAGGCCGTGGGGACCTCGGAAATCCAGGGCACCTCTCCTCCTCCTTCCTCCTCCTCCTCCTCCTCCTCCTCCTCCTCCTCCTCCTCCTCCTCCTCGTCCTCTTCGTCCTCTTCTCCTCCTCCCCCTCCTCCCTCCTCCTCCTCCTCCCCTCCTCCTCCTCCTCCTCCTCCTCCTCCTCCTCCTCCTCCTCCTCCTCCTCCTCCTCCTCACCTTGGGCCAGGGGCGCTGCCAGCAGCACCCGGTTCCGGCCAGCAGGAAGGGCGCGGGCGAGGTCTGAGGCTCTGGGCTCGAGGAGGCATCCTGCTGTCGGCCCCCGGGTGCCGTCGTCGGGCCCCGCGGGGTCGTCGAGGACGGATCTTTTGGGCGAGCGCGCAGCCGCAGAAGGCGCGAGGCAGCACCCCCTTGACCGCGGGAGGGCCGCTGCAGCGACGAGCACTGCTGTGTACTCTCTTGTTAGGCGTCCCCGACGTGTCGGCCGAGGCTCCTGTGTCGGTCGGGGTGGCGGGGGCGCCCAGCGTGGTCTAGTCCCTCGCAGCCGACCTGGAAGGTTCCGAGGCTTTCTTCGCTCCCATGTCGTCGTAAAAAAGGCTGCACCATATGGACCCTGGGAGGGGTCGGGGGGCCGATTTCGAGCGGGCTTGCCTTCATGCCCCCCTCTGGACCAATTTTCTCGGGGCCCAATCCGCTGGGATCCCCCGGCCGCCTCCAAAGCTCAGGAGAGGAAAACACACACAGACAGGAAAATATGGGAACATATGAGACGTGGGGAGGAGACGAACCCCAGAAAATATGAAACATATAGGGAGTCCTGGGATCGGTGTCTATTTATTGAGTCGTGTCGCTCATTCCGCTGGCCCATGTTGTCTCGCCGCTGTCGTTTGTCTGGTTGTTGTCGTCAATTTGTGCCGCTGGGCGTTTGGCATTTTCTGGAGGCGGGACGCGGTGAGCGTCGCAGATGAAGCAATTGCCGTGGAATTGCTTCCTGCCGGGCCTCACGGGGGCCCCTTGGGTGCCTCTAGGGGCTTTTGTGGGGCCTATTGGGGGCCTCTAGGGGTGTCTTGAACGCGTCGTCGGCCGTCTGGAAGCCATCTTGGGCGTCTCGGACCAATTGTGCCATCGCTAGCGCTTGGGGGCCTCTCCGGGGCCTCTAGGGGGCCTTTCAGGAGCTTCTTGTGGGGCTCTTGGCGGCCTCTTGGAGCCTCTTGGGGGGCTTTGGGGGGTTTCTTGGGGCCTCCCGGGCGCCTCTTGGGGCCGAGGGCTCGAAATGTCCGTTCGGGTTCCCCGTCTGGCCCCATATTGGGGCCGACCTGGGGATATCATGTGCTGTTTTGGGGGCCTCTTGGGTCGTCTTGGGGCCCGCTTGGGGCTCTCTTGGGGGCCTCTTGGCCCGTCTTGGAGCGATCTTTCGGGCCTCTTGTGCCGTCTTTGCGCGTCAGGGAGCCGAACAGATGAGAACGCCCAAATCCTTCAAACATGCAAGAAACATCTATGGTTGTTGTCTCCCGGGCCCTCTTGAGACGTTTCTTCGAGGCCTTTTTGGGCGTTTTGAGGGCGTATGCGGCCGTCTGAAGGCTATTCTGGGCGTCTTGGACCGGTCGGTCGGCGACTCAGAGCCTTCTTGGACTGTCTTGTGGACTCTTGGGGCCGTCTAAAGGCGCTCTGGGGCGCCTGAAAGCCGCGCCCAGAAGGAGAAACCATCTCTGTCCATGAAACGCGGGATGGGTATGCCGAAATGGGCGGGGGGGGCGCATACGAACGTCGCCACTGGGGCCTTCGGTGGAACTTCGTATGGAACCACGAAGCGCCGTACTGGGTGTGCCGAAATGGGTGGGGGGAGGCGCATCGGATCACAGCCAGAGGTGCCTTCGGTGGAGCTCCCCA